CCCTACTACTACTATTACTGCCACAACTACTACTACTACTACTGCCACAACTACTACCACTACTACTACCACTACTACTACTACTACTGCTGTTGCGGCTGCTATTGTGGTTACTACATCTTGTAAACTATGCCCTTTTTGTTATCCGCAAGAAAGAAATCAACTAAGACAGCAAGAACAAAAACTTCAGCAGCTACAACAACAACAACAACAAACGGAGCAAAATAATCCGATTCACTGTCACAACATCTTGTACAATTATTATTATCATCTTCAGCAACAGCATCATCAGTATTTTCAACAACATCAACAACAACATTATCATCAACAAAGACAACAACAACAGCAGCAACAACAGCAGCAACAACGACAACAGCAGCGCATAAAAAAGTTAAAAATGGCAACAAATTTATCTCCGTCAATCGGACATAGGCAGTTGAACCTCAAAACCTCTCAACTAAATCAATTACCAATTACTAGAACGTCAACATCAACAACATCAGCAACAACATTAACAACAACAACACCGACGTCATCAACAACAACATTGAAACATTGGAAACATGTCAACAGATCAAAATTTCACAGCGTAGCCAATGGGGAGGGAGATAATTTTCCAGTCTTTTCATCGCCGTGTCAGTTGGAAATATTTCTTCGTCAATTGCAACAATTGCGAAAATTTTTTAAACAACAACAACAACTTCAACGTCAACAAAAACATCAACAACTACGTTATCAACTACCAAAATGTCAACAACAACAACAACAGCAGCAGCAGCAAAGAATTGGAGAACACATTAAAAAAGTACTCCTGCCCATTATAAGACGCAAGCCTTTAAAAAGAGTTGACATGTATGACGGAAAATTCAACAAAAATGCTAGTTGCTCTAACATAAACCAACTGAAAGAGCAACAAAAACAACAACAAAAACATCCTCAACATCATGAACAACAACATCAACAAAAACATCAACAACGAAGCGAAATTTTTTCCGACTCTAAACTTCCTTTCAAAAATTCTATTGAAACAATTTTAAAACAAAAATTCTCCCCCATAAAAGTTTTTTACCGCCCAAAAAACATCTCAAACAACCGATCAAAACTCTATAAACGTATTGAAATTGTTAAAAAATGTAAAAATCTTGATGCAAATGAAGAAAATTTTGATAAATTTTTAGAAAAAACTAACCATAGGAGCGAGAGAAATCCAGAAAATGTTGAAAAAATCCGTTCGTTGAAATGTTTGAGGGATACGTTTACATTGAGACGGCAAAGAAAATTGTTGAAGATGATAAAACCACCTGCCAATTTGAAATATCAAAACGTGGGTAACAATGAATGCAAATTAAAATTGTTTCATCAACAATTACAACAACAACAACAGCAGCAACAACAGCAACAACAGCAGCAACAACAGCAACAACAACAACAGTTGCAGCAGCAGGTAAAACAAAAACATCTGCAAAGACAAGATCTAGAAGAGCTACTACATCAGAAAGGACAAGAGTTACATCAAGAGCAAGGTCTCTACACTGAGCAGGGCAATCAAATGCTAACAATTCAACAATTTCAAGATGACAAGAGCCAATGGCGGCAACAAAATTATCTAAGAAAATATCATCTGGATGAGCAACAACAACAGCAACTGCAACAGCAACAACAACAAAATCAACAAGATGTGATACAAATTTTCCCGCAACCACTACCGCAACAACATTTTCAACAATTGCTGCAAAATTTAATGCAACAACAACAACAACATCAACATCAGCAACAAAAACATCAACAGCAACAACAGCAACATCAATACAGCTACCATCAATCAAGCCAAGCGACAGAGTACGCACATATAAATGCGTGCACAGCCCTGAAGCGAGAACAAATGACTGATGAATATTCAATTCATGACGTCAGCCAATCCATCAACCAATCACAGAATAATAGCAACAGTCTGAGCAATAATGAATGCAACGAATATGCTAACGAAGCGACAGAAATCGACTCAAAATCGACAACATACCGGCTCAGAAACTCATTCCTCGGGTCGGTTACTACCGCTACTTCGACTTACGGAACTCGCAAGAGAGCTACAAAAATTACTGTCGCCACAAAAGTAACTTCAACTACTGCTGCAGTCATTAATAGTAGTAACCATTTAAATGATTTTATTAACGATGACGACGACGATGACGTCACGAGATTCGATACAAGCAATCATAATCATGACTCCCGTAATAAGTCATCTCACAACAAACACATCAAACGGAGCAAACAGAGCGAGAGGAGAAAGAAGAGAGAAAGATCTGAGATGAAGAGGAAAGTTAAAGAAGATGATGATGATGAGGATGATGAGGATGATGATGATGATGAAAACGACGATGATGATAATGATGATGGTAGTGATGACGGTGATGATGACGACAACAACGACGATGATGAAAATAACAGTGATGAAGATGATGGAGGTGAGGATGACGAGGCTTACAGTGAAATTGATACAGAAAATAAAAAACAGAAACACAAGCTGCAGAGGAAGCGTGTTCGATCGCACAGTCGGTACGACGGTAGCGACTTCACAAGCGATTCAAACGACTCAGCTACCAATCGTAGCCACTCAAAAAAACATAAAAATAATACTTCTTACCAAGAGTTCATGCACAAATACTTAGAAGCGGAACTGTTGAAAAAACAGAAAAAGGCAGAAAAAATCGCTAAAAAAATTGCTGCGGCTCTAAGCGCAACCACACTGGCTACAACAAATCCCGTCAAAATTGGGATCGGAGGTAAGGGCAGCAGCGCAACTTCAAAAGAAAATTTAATCACGGAGATTGCCGTTGAAGATTCCAGCACTGCCTCGACGAATTCCGAAAACTCAGATGGAGGCGCGCTCAAGTTGACGGTCGACAACAAGTGGAAGAAGGAGTTGGCGAAGTATTTGAAATCGAAATCGAAACTTGTTTTGTCGCCGAGACGTGAGAAGATGATATCGCGAGAAATGGAGAGGAAGCTGACAGACTTGTACAGGGAGCAGCATGAGCAGAACAAGTTGCTGCGAGAACAGGAGGTGGATTACAGGTGCAAACAGATGGAGTTGTTGCTGAAACAAAAACAGCAACAACGCTCCCACCGTCTTCAAATTCGCGGATTGAAAATTAAAAATAATAGGAAAGAGAAATCGAAAAATAAGAAAAACGCTATAAATCTTGGTAGAAGTTCTCTGCGAGCCAACAAACTACAACGGCAAGTTAATAATTTAGACCAGCAGCAACTACCAACAAAATTTCAAACTCTAAAACGCCCAAGAACTAACAGCTCGCAAATTCTGACCCGACATAAATTGAAACAACAATACTCAAATTCGCCCAAAATTCTGAACTGGTTAAAAAATTCAGTGAAGAGTCCGACGAACGATGGTACCGACAGTTCATCATCGTCAACTTCGCAAAATAATTCGCCAGTATTGCAACTTCATTCACCTCGAAGGAAGTCGCCATCAAGTTCGTCACAAACCGAAGATAGTGCGAACGCTAGCTCCAAAAGTAGCATCATTTCAGCCAGCACCGCCAGCACTCAGAGTAGTTCATCTGACAATAATATAAGAAGCAACGAAAATCGAGTGGACTCTATCACCTCTGATAACGACAAACATAACGATGATGATGGAGATAACAAAGACAAACTAAATCATCAGCTAGAACATGTTTACCATAAAAAGGAAAAAAACACTAAAAGTACAGACGTGGCTGAAAGCGTTGTTTCTGATATCAAGAAACTGGCCTTGGATCAGTTGAATCAGTACTTCTGTAATCCTAACAGCGAATGGAACCGAAGTATCAGCAAGCGTTTGCGCGAGAGTACGAAATCTTTTGACACTGCGAGAAATCTCACTGTTAAGGATGACAATGATGGTGGAGAAGTTTTTTTGGAAAATTTTGATTTAAACTCTAAAAATTCTTCTAAAAAAGATGCCTCTAATTCGAAATCAAGTGAGTTGAAAAGATATCGCTTCCAGTATCGAAAATATAAGCAACACGATCATCAACATCGTCAGCAGCAACAACAAAATCAGCAGCGTGATAAGTTGAATCCACGACAACGTATAACGAGAAAACCGTAGAAAA